CCCCTTCTGACCCCCCCACTGCAGGGCAGCCCATGGTCCTGAGCCCGGTAGAGCTGCTGGGGTCCCTCTGCCACAGGTCACAGCCCCCCTCCAATGGGCAGAGGCTGCTGGCCCTGTGTCTGCAGAAATTAGGTTTTTCACCCTCATCTGCCCAAGATGGGAGCATCACACATCCCCTGTCCCCCCAGTCACCCCTCGGGGGGGGGGTCATGGCCATGGCCAGGCCCTGACATAGCCCAGGAAGAGGAGACGTGTGTGTGCACTACAGACCAGCCACCTCCTCCTGGGCTGAGCCCTGGACAAGCTCTTCCATCACCCTAATGACACAGCTCATAATTATCTCATTTGCTATTCATTTGGACGTCAAGAGAAATTCCACTCATTCACTTTTAATTAATATGGCCCTAAAATAAAGCCGGGGGGCTGGCAGGACTCCAGCAAGAGGACATCAGCAACAGACAGGAGGAACTGGGACCAACAAAGGGAAGAGAGGTCGGGGTGGAGAACTACAGGACAAACGGAGATCAGGGGAAGGGACCAGTGAATCCCCCCCAGTCTCACCAGTGCCCTCTGCACCACAAGCTCTCTCTGCTGGTGCCCACCATGGCAGCCAAGGCATGAGAGGCTTCTGGATGCCCTGATGAGGCTCAGCTGTCCCAGAGAGGACTGACACTAAAAATGCCCGTTTGTGGCTAGAAACTGGGGCCCAAAGTTGGGGAACAGCCTCCCTGCTCCCAGCAGAGCAGGAGGGATAGAGCCAACGGCACGGAGATGTCCCAGCCAGTGCCACACCAGCCAAAAGCACTGGGGACACTGGGGAGCTCAGCTGCAGCCTGTGGGTGAGACCACACCAGATGATGGCTTGAGGCCACCAGGCTACAGATGGACCTGGTTTGGGGGAAACAGGAGGGAAACAGCCCCTCCTAAATCCACCTGAGCAGCGCAAGGCAAAAGGGAAGAGATGTGAGAACTGGGAGGGGCTGGGAATGGGGAAATCCCTAGAAAACCACTTTCCTTCTCCTCGGTGCGAGTGTCCCAAAATACAAACCCTGAGTCACCAGAGCTCGGTCCTTGCGATACAAACCGCGGAGGCAGCACCCAGCCCACCACGAGCTCCAGACACGGAGGTGGGGATTCATCTCACCCACCTTGAGGTGTCTGTGACTGAGTCACTCATCCAGGCTCCCTCAGACACCAGGGAGGGAACCGACTCGCAGGCTAAAGAGCCTTCTCTCCCTTCTCAGAGGACCCCAGACAAGCAGAGACCGTCCCTTCTGATCTCTAGGCACCCACAAAAAGAACCCACCGAGGAAGCAGATCCAGAGAATCTGTAGAACAAGTGATTTATCATTTGACTGGCACAAATCTCCCTCTTCACATCCTCAGAGGGCAAACAGAACTGTAAAACAAGTGGCCATAAGAGCTCTCGGGAGGTGGGTGAGAAGCTCCCACCTTGGGTGGGGGTGGCACCAACGCCAGGTTCAGAAGGGAATGGGTTTGTGTCAGCTCAGGTTTGTGTGGAGAAGCTCTTCAGCAGCCCTTGCTCTGCCTCTGACCGTGCCAGGGCTGAGCCTGCCCCGCAGTAGCCAAGCCTGCGGCAAGGAGGCTCAGCACGGGGCAGCTCGGGTTTAATTAAGCCGGTGCAGGCTGTGCCCGTTGACGAGCCCAAGGCAGGGCAGCCAGAGAGGGCTCTCCAACATGTGCATCTCAGCAGGACCAGTGCCTCCCCACCAGCGCGGCCAAGAAATGGTTCCTGCTTTAATTACCAGCTTCCTGGAGGAAGGAGCCGGCCGCGGGGCAGTGGCCGGGAGCCCTGGGGGGACCCAGAGCCCTGGGGGGACCCGGAGCCCCCTCCTCACTGGCATGGCTCAAAGCCCCCCAGCCGTGTGCCCCCAACACTGATGCCACACACAGGAGGCCACACAGGCCAGGTAGATCCAAGCATTCCCTAGAACAGGCAGTTCTTGAAAGCTTTCCCACTGGCACATCCCCTCCCAGCAGCACGTTCTGGTGCAGGGGAGGGATTGGGGAAGCTCCACACCTCCAGCATCCCCCCCCAGCAGAAGAATTTGTCTGGGTGCCATGTCCCTTACAGAGCCCAGCAGGGAGTTGGGAAATCCATCCCGGCACATCCCGAAGCACGGGGCAGAGCAGGAGGTGGCCCGTGGCTGCAGCCCAGCCCCACCTGGCAGCCCCAGCTGAACGGTAAGGCAGCAGAGGTGGCAGATTAGTTTAATCAAAGGTAGTCAGCCCTAATCCATCCTCCAGGCACGCAGCAGAGGGTGAGGGCTCTGCTACCCTTTGCTATTTCACCGTATGAGAAGCTAAAGAACTACCCCAACAACCTTCTCCTTTTTACAGAGCCCCCACGGCAGCCACAAGAGAGGATTCAGTCTCCTTCCTTCCACCTCCCCATCTTCTTCCCCTGAGGTTTCACTCCATTCTACTCCTTCTTCCCAACCACATCCCAAATTTCTGCCAGCCCTTAGTTACTTATATTTAGCAATTAGCACTCGTGAACGGTTCTAGCCCAGCTCACAGCCCTTGCTCCTCACCCGGGAGGTGTTTTTGGGTGGCCACATCCCTGCATTGAGGACCAGGACTGGGGTGGACAGGAGCCACCACTGCTGGTCTCCCCCAGCTTCAGCCCCACGGAATGACCCAGCAGTGAGACCCCTTCAGAGGCTCCCAAACAGTCACAGGCAGAAATGTTAAGGAGAAAAGCAACCTCAATGATAAATGAAAGGCAACAGTTTGTAATAAATAAACAATAAGTTGTTGGAGCTGGAGAACAAATAATTCACACCCAGAAAAGCTCATTTCCAGCAAAGAGTTAAAAAGGAAGAGATGTGTATGAGTTTACTTAGGAAGGACACTCAGGCTCTAGCCTCTGAGTTTCTATTAAGAGGAGGTTTCATGCATTACAAAGCGATTTTCCCTTCCCTAGTTTATAAACCAATTAGATAAAGACCAAGTTAATCCCTTATTGTGCTCAGAGAGCCACGGGTAGACACCAAACACAGAGATTAGTCCATTTAACCACCTCCCCAGGTTCTGGCAGCCGAGAGAGCATCACACAGGACAGAGAAAACAGAGCCCTCGGCTCGGCGGGGGGCTGCAGGTGGGGGCTGCAAGGTCCTACCACCCAGGAGACACCCCTCCTCCACCTAAACCCTGCAAAGGTGCCTTTAATCCAAAGCCATCCAACCTCAGGAGTTTACCTGCACCCAGAGGGTGCCAAGATACCTCGGGTCACATAAAGGGATGTGGCAACAGAGATGTGTGTTTTTTTTCTTTTTTAATAAAACAAAATATCACTAGGCTTTCCCACCTCCCCCCGCAGGCAGAGGGCACAGCTCCAGGTGACAGCATCACCAGCCCCAGCTCTCACAGGGTGACCACACAGACCATACACACATCAGAAAGCTCAGCAAGAAGAGGAAACTCCAAGCTGCAGCCCCAGAACAGCCTCATGTTCCTCCTGAGCCTCATGTTCACCAGAAAGCCCAGCAAGAGGAGGAAACTCCAAGCTGCAGCCCCAGAACAGCCTCATGTTCCTCCTGAGCCTCATGTTCTGTTGAGAACCCAGGCTCAAGGTAGCCCAGTTCACATCTTCTGCTGAAGAACCTCCACGGACCAGCACATCCCAACCCTCTTGTGACCACACACCAACAAAAGCACACAAAATTACCAATATAAAAGAGCTTAAAACCACAGACACTCACCCACTCAAGCTGCACAACCAGGTCAGAAGGAGCTGCAGAAGGAACTCCAGTCCCACCTGCTGAGGAAGCCCCTTTTCTGGCAGGGCCATCCCCACCAGACCCTCCCAGTCACAGCTGAGCCAAATGAGAGGCTGCACCACCCCCGAGGGAAATTTGCAGCAGGAGTGGAATGACCCAGGACAGGGGCTGAGCCTGGGCTGCATTTAGAAGAGACCACAGTGGTCCTGACCCCGAGCACCCCTCTCCAATCCCAGAAAAACATCCTTTTTCCTCTTCAGGCTGGAGTCTTCCACAGCCATGGTTTTTTAAGTCATTGTGCCAGGGTTATGGCTGTGCTCAACAATTCATGTATCTGCTCCTGTCCATCTCAGAAACGGTCAGGAAAAACCTGCCGAATACAACCAGGAACCCACACCTTTGGAGGAACACCTTTAGTCCTGCAAATTGGAGGAGACTTGCAGTATTGATTCAAGGATAAAACCTGTTTGTTCTGTGCTCTGCTGCTAAAGCAAAGCTTCACAAATGGCTTAACTGATGGGTGTTGGTCCCAGGGGATTTGAGATCTTCCTCCTGACCTGACAGGAGCGCTCCCAGGCCCCTCAGACTGCAAAGACTCAAGTCTAGGACCCAGCCACCCCGACTGATTTGTGTATTAGGAGGGACCTCCCTCCCCATTCTCCTCGAGGGGCAATTCCCTGGTCCCCTGATGACCCAGGCAACGTGGAGAGGGTGACAGTAACACCGAGCAAGTCTAGGTGCCATTGTGCCCTTCCATCTGAACCATGCTCCAGCAGCAATTCCCAGCAGCTTCCCACCGAGACCAGCACCACATGCCAGGTCACTACTGCGTGGCACCAAGGCACTGGGAATGCAGAAGCCACTGCCACCCCACAGACAGAAAGCTTCTCGGGTTCTGGAGCTCAGAGAGACCTCCGAGCCTCTTCCAAACTCGGCAGCAGACAGTTGGCTGCATCCCCTCCCTCATGAGTCAGACGCCCACCTGAAACGCCGCGTCCTTGGCCCGTCTGTCGGGACCAGCCGGAGCCACGTTCAGGGCTTCTGTTCCCCGGAGACGTGCAAAGCAAATGTGAGAGCACAGGCTGCAGGGACTGGGTGGAAGCTGCTCCAGAAACGATGAGAAGGAACAGTCTCCGTGCCACAGAGGTGTGGTGGGAGCCAAAGGCCAGCTCTGGAGTTTGGTTACAACTAAGTTAAGGGCCCCAGCATCTCTTTGTCAATCACCTCCTGCAGTTGTCCAAGTACTCAAACAAGTTGTTGCAAACTTACAAGGGTACTTTTACTTACACAAATATTTTTACAATGCTTAAAAATCATCCCTGAGAAATGCGTCCTTAACATTATCCCTGCACAGAGGCTGGTCTGTCTGTCCCCCAGACCCACGTGGAGTTGGTGGCATTGTCCTGACCAACACGGCCTTGCACTGCTGTCCCCTGGGGTGGCACTCGGCCGTGGTGCTCGACAGAACCACAGTCGTGGTGGAGGAGAGGATCCAGTGAAGAGGAGCCCTGTGGTTTCTCCTGGCATCAGCCTAATCATCCGGTTCAGCCTCCTTTTTACCACTAGGAACAAAAAGAAGGAAGGGTCACAGACTTAAAAAGCAGAAGCCAAGAAGGCCAAATAACAATTTCACTTAATAAGGGGCTCAGACACAGAGGTTTTGAAATATATGGTCATAAATGGAATTAATTTGGTTTTTTCTGTTGCACCCATGTCCAAACTAAGTAGCCTTCGTGTAAGCCTGAGTGCCTGTCATGGCAGGAAGGCATTAGAGGGGTTAGAGATGCAGCTCCAGCACAAACCAGGGACACCCGGCCTGGCACCACGCAGGGCTACCCCCAGCCATGGCCTGGCCACGCTGTGTGACCACCACTACACGAGCAGAGGAAGCCCCTTCTTTTGTTTCTGGCTGCGTGATGCAAAGAACAGAGGAGCTGAGCAGAGCACGGTCAGTGGCACCAGCCAGGAGTCCCAAGGAATCCATAAGGAGCTGCCTCAGTCAGTTGCTGTTGCCACCAGCAACCTTCTCTCCTCCTGCTCCAGCAGGACCCTCAGAACGGGGGGGCTCTGAGCCCTTCATTCACCCCCCAGCAGCTTCCCAGGTGGGGCCACCAGGTGCCTGTCCAGCCTGGCACTGGTGTGGGTCTGAGGGACCCCAACAACACCCCTGTGAATGGTGCTGCAGACGCAGCACGGTCACAGCACAGGGAGCTCCGGTGCTTTGTGGGACCTGCTGTGGATTTACACCCTTTCATGGAGCGGCCGCGACCCCACATTATGTAAGAGGAAGGATTCTGACCCTCCCCTTGCTTTCTGGGGGCAGGAACCAGCTTCCCGTGGGATATTTCTGTCCACCCCGGTGTCACACCTGTGGGCGTTAGTGCTCTGCTTATCGCAGACGCCGGAAACGCACCAAATCCCCAACGACCTTCCCCAGCCTCGGACACAGCGCTCTGCGGAAGAAACGTGTGAAGGAGCATGGCCACCATCACCAGAAATCACCCGTTATGGAGGCAACATATGTCCTGATGTCACTCGAGCTCACCTTGTTACCCCATCTGTCCCCTTAATGCCATTACTGAAGATCATTACATGAGCAGATCTCCTCTGGAGAGGCAGCTGCTTGGGCTGCCCACACACCTACCTCTCTGGCCCAGAAGACGTGACCTCCAGTGGTGAGCACAGCTGCTTCCGAATATACTCCCTCGATCTAATATCGGCCTGGAATTAAAGAGGAAAATGAGTGAAAATGGATTGATCAGCCTGCTTGGAGCCTCCCCTTTGTCATCGCAGTATGTCCCTGCACACCCCGATGTCAGCACATCACAAACAGCTTTTGTGTGACTCCACTGCAAAGGAACCTGTGTGGTTCTTTCCTTGTTTGGTTTCCGTGCCTCACTGCAAGCTGCTTGGGAGGATGAAGACTTAAAATGAAGAAACAGAGGGTCCTGGACCAAACAGCCCTGCTGGAGTACAGCCCATCACAGAAGCAGAACCAACATTCCCTGTGCCCTTGCTGTCTGCCCCTTTGCTTCCCACAGGAGCAAGGAGGTGAGACACCAGGCACAGACAGTTCCCACCAGCTGGTGCCCAATGTCTGCTCAGCCCTGAGCTACCCCAAGTGTGGTGGGGACAAGCAGCCAAAGTGGGACCCAGCCTGGGCTTCCTCAGCAAATCCAGCTGCAGCTGAGGGTGACAGCCTTCACCAAGGGTCTCTGTGGGACCCAGAAGATGACCCAGCACAGACTTCCCCTTCACACCACGGTGCAGCAGGCACTGACCCAGCTGCAATCCCTCACTGTACCCCTACCCTAATGGCTCCTAAGATGCCCTCTTCACCATTCAGGGATGTGACAAGCCAGCAAGGATTTCCAGAGGCTTAGTAAGGTGTTCACTGGCAAAGGGAGAGCTGCTCAGGCAATGGGCTGCTTCCCAGTTGTGCCTTATGTCTCTTTGGTGAACCCTGTCAGCAGCGCCTGGAGGAGACCTGGGAGCCTGAGCGTGGCCTTTCATCCTTTGAACCAACCCAAAATGACTTCTTCCATGTGTAGGCACCTCCAAATGCAGTGCAGGAAAACCTAACGAGCGGCTAAACTCCTTCACAGGCCTCCCCCAGCAAGAGCTCAGCACCGTCAGATGAGAGAAGGAATAGACTCGTTAGAAACTTGAGGGCAGGGCAAGTCTCCCTTCCCTCGAAAGGAGACATTCCAAAAAGCAAACCAGCTCTCCCATTGATCTGGCAGAAGCTGCTCCACCACCCTCACTCTGTGAAGGGATCACACGTTGTGACCACACAGAGGTCTCATCAGCAGCACAGGATGGCACGTGCTCAGAGCAGGGCAAGGAGAACACTGATGGAAATACCAAGAGCTACAGAAAGTGATACTGGGTGTTTACTGGACGTTCTTGTCCCCTAGAAGTGTCACTGTCCAGCTTCCCAGTGCAGAAGACTCTGAGATGCTATCACGAGCACGCAGATCCTGGGCTCTTGAGCAACTTCGAGAATTGGGAGTTGGTTTTTACACTCCCTCCAAGTTTTTTTTTTTTTCTTTAGAAACTTCCTTTCTCAAAACCACCGCTATGCTGTGACATTTCGGAACAGCTGCTGTGCCCCACCTCAAAGGCTGAGTCTCTCTCTCCACTTAAAAAGCAGTATGTGACCTTCCCAGCTGGAAAAGCTTCACAGTATGTGATGATCATGCAAATAAAGTGGGTTAACGCATCCCCAGTGGCTGTCCTTGAAGCATTTGCCACTCTCATCACTGTGCTACTTCTGAAGAGTCCCTCCCGTAGGTCTAGAAGCTCCCCACCACCCTCCAGCCCTACTCAGCCTCTCGGGTGGAGGCTCTGCTCGCTGGAAACACAGCTCCACAACTGCTTAACAATTCTGCAAGCTCCAGAACGAAAAATAGTTACATAAGGGGTGGTTTGTTTGGGAGATTTTTTTTTTCCTTTCTCTCTATAATTGGACAGTTTCATAACCGAACTGACAAATAACTTTGATCACTCTTCAGGATAGGAGATTACGTGATGTATTTTATAACAAGGGAAGGAGGTTGTTCAATACAGTCCCTACCGGGAGACCAAGGTAGCAAGAGTCACATCTACAAACTGCTTTTCTAGGGAAGAAAAACCCCAACCAACATTAGCTAATGCTTGATTAGGTGGCAAGTTACTGGCCAGTCCTCACTCCTAACACAGCGCTGAGAGACAGCTTAACCCAGCGCATTAACCAAGAGGCTAATCAATAAGATGGATAACTGTCCCGTAATAATCCTCACAGATTGTTTCTATTTTCAGAGGGGACTAGTGCTGGCATTAGGGTCTGGAATTGTTGCTTTGCCTGTTTTATGAGGGGTGGTGGTGATCCCTGTGCACGCAGGAAGCTTGCAGTGGGGTGTACACCCCACGGGAGACAGAGTTTCAGGGTATCTGCCACCCATTTCCCTGCTGGGCAGCAGGAGCTGCTCACACAGAGGAGAGGGATGGTGGTTTCCTTCTCAGTTCTCCTAAGGAAGGCAAGTGTTTCATATTTCACATGAAGTGACCTGCAGATTTGGTTCTCCTAAGGAGGGCGTTTCATATTTCACATGAAGTGACCTGCAGAAATTCCCAGCTCTGGGCAGCCCTCCTTGGTGGGCTGGAGCAACATCAGGCTGTCCCATCAGACACATCCTGAGCCAGCAGGACCCAGCCTGGGCAAGGGGCCAGCTGGAGCTAAATGGATCATGGGGAGAGCTGGAGGCTGGTGTGCAGCCAAGCAGGAACCTGGAGCAGAGAGAGCAGAGGCATTGGTCTCAGCACAACCCCTGTCAGCTGGAGAGAGTTAAAAGCTTCTGTTTCCCTGCTGTGCGTGGGGATCCTGGGTCTGAGCAGGCTTGGAGCGTGGGCAAACACCGGAGAGGGGTTCTGACCTCTGCCAGATGCAGGCAAGGGCAGCTGCTCTCAGGAGGGCTTGGTATTGTTCCAGCGCTGCTCAGTTTGAATGCTTGGCTTATTATTCTGGGATGACAGCTCCTGCCTACCTCAAGCCCCGTCTGGGTAGCTCCAAATGACCCAATCTCTGCAGAAGAACCTCAGGATCTCACACACTGGCTGGGCAGAGAGATCACCTCCACGCAAGCAAAATTCTCCCACATCAGCCTTGCACTTACACGTGGGATAAGGTCTAAGTGGGATGTAAATACTGGTTGTAGGTGATAATGAACTACCTTCTGCTTTCTCTGAAAGATCACTTCTCTCACCTGCATCACAGCCAGGGTTCCTTTGGCAGCACATCGTGGGCTGAGTGCAAATCAAAGCATTTCTGTCGATGTTGCTGTGCCCGAGCAGCACAACAAACCCCACACGGACAGGCCAGTGTACCTCTGGGAAAGCAGAAGGTCTAAGCTCCCACAAGAGCTGCAGGGCCCTACACGTGCTGCAGCACAGCACTGCCTTCACACAGACCATAACCACAGCCTCGAGAAGGCATGGGCAGCTCAGCTCTCTTAAGAGCATTATATTTCTAGGGCTACCAGAACTTACCAACTAAGAGCTAATGATCCACAAGTCTTTCATGACACTAGGAAAGCCATAAGCACATCACTCGTCAGGTATGAAAGCTTGTTCTGGGGACATCCCATAGCAAAAAGGCCAAAGTCAGTCACCCACAGCAGGATTCTCCACAGCCTTCTACTGCCTAATTCCAGCTTTAGGTGCTCAAGAGCTGAGGCCTCCAGCACTGCCCTGTGTCAGGATCTGTGACAGTTACCACACAGAGGAACTGCAGCAGGGAGAAGTCCCATGGAAAAGTTTCAGTATCCTTGCCTCCTGCCATCCCTCTGCCTCCACAGTAACCACACTCCCTTTTGGATTTTTCATCTCTCTGTGAGGAAAGTGACAATTCATTCCATCGCTTTAAATTAAGGTCGCAGTTAGAGAACTGGAAGAGTCTCAGAACATAGACAAATACTGGAGGTAGTTGGAAATGAAATGAGGGTGATGAAAAGCTGCAAGACACCTCTTTGTTTCCAAAGGGAAGGCTCTTCCCCTTTCCTCTGCAGAGCCAGCTCCAAGCGCTGCGGAGGCTCCGTCCCTCTCCAGAGGAGGTTGCATAAGAAGATCCATCAGCCTACTCCTGTCTGGCAGGGAGCGGTGTATGAGATCAGAAACTCCCGTTCTGGTATGGACACTTCAAGGTTTGTTTTGCTCTAAGGTGTTAGATTTTTGTCTAACAAAATTTTCTCTGGTTTATAACCACAGACACAAGGCTCTGTTTTCAGAGAACCCTGCAGCGCCGATGAGAAGCTTCGATGTGTAGAGACTGTGTATCCCTCAGCAGGATCCCCTCCGTGCTGCTCCGAGGAGCTGCGGGGCAAGAGGTGGGCAGGCACCTGACGAGGAGAGTGGTGCAGCACGGGGACAGCATGTCCCAGGGCAGTGTCACAAACACAGACACCTAAATGGGCCCCAGTCCCGGGACAGTCACTGGGACTGGGACAGATCTGCCTGAGCCACTGACAGCAGGATGACCCTGACAGAAGGGAAACACTTGTCAGGCTACAAGTCCCAGGGGCTTTACACTTCTCCAGATCCTTCCCCTCAAGCCCTGCTGCCATTTCATTAGTCTGAAGCTGAGCTTGGTGGCACTGCGGCTCACTGAGGGTGATCCAGTGCTGTCACCTACTGGCTGGCTGCCGCCTCGGAGCCCGCAGCTGCTTGCGGAGTGCAGCAGCAGGGAAAAGCCCAGAGGAGCAGCACACTGCAGTCTGTGCTGGGCTCAAAGTGCCCAGGAAAACTGCATTTCCAGCTCCTGGGTATTAACATCACCATCGCAGAAGCTGCCTGCAGAGAGGAACCAAGGAATCAGTCAGGCTGGGTCTGCAGTAAGGGCTGTGTGTGCTTCGGGGCACTGCGTCAGAACCAGCGAGGGAGAAGGAAGGATCAGTGAATGACCACGTAACCACCACCATGACAAGCCAGGGAGAAGAGGCCACCAAGAAGGGTGCCAGCTGCACAACTGTCAGCTGCAGATGGGTGGCAAACTGAGGCTGTGAAGCATTGCCAGGGGCTTGGAACCCACAGCCCTCTCTGCTGCCTGTGTCCCTGCTCCAGGCCCCTTCCTCAGCTCCCCGGTGTCTGGCTGTACCTGACGGATGGGCTCCGGGATCCGGTACCTGCAGCAGGACTTGACCAGGCGCACGGCTGTCTCCAGGCACACCCTGTGGCCCACGGAGATATAGAGTGGCCTAGAGCTGTTGTTGCTGCTACGCAGGGCCTGTGCATTCAGAAACAAGAAAGATCAAATACTTAAGAGGCTTATTTTAACAAACACAGAGCAGCAGCTGAATTATCAGCTAGCCGGTTGCTTTCAGCAGGTGGGATGCCAGCTCTGTGTTTGGCAACTCCCAGCCTTTTTGAATCTCTTCCACATCCCAGTATCTTCTCAAAGGGACTGTTTGCACTTGGGACCCCCGTGGCCCTTCCCCAAAAGCCTCGTGCTGCTCAGGGAAGCGGTGAGAGTTGCTCATGCAGAGTATGTGGAAACACCACCAGCTGCAGGAGGTTTCTTACACCTGCACTTTTCTGAGTCAGATGCTGCCATACTGCATCCCAGTAAACTGCACATTGCATCCCAGTAAGCTGCTACAGAATGGGCACCTCTCCTTGCTTGGCCCCTCAGATGCCATAGCCATGAATGGGAATATATTCAACACCTGAACTGTCGACCTTTTTACACATCTGAGCTCGCAGAAAGGGGAAAGCAGTGTTACTGGTCACCTCTTCACACCGTGTCTTCCTGAACTGACATCACTGGGACAGTCCCACTACAGAGACAACATGCTCCAGTGCTCCCAGCTACTACACAAAGTTGGAAGACTAGATGGCCAAGCAAAGAGGAAACTCCTCACATCTTACCATGCCCCGGGCTCTCCCAGAAGTGCCCGTCAGTGGGAATGTATCTCCTTCCTTCTGCAGGGAACGAATCTAGGGATAAACACACACAAGGTCAGTTGGTTAGGAAGTGCTTGCACATAGCTGTCCCTATTCTCTTGGGATATTAAAGAGTGGAAATAAATTGCCAGCCTGGCCTAACCTGCTCTCTGTGCAGCTCATCCCTGACCAAGCCATCTGTCTGCAGGAGGTTCTTGGCCACTCCAATACATGGTAGATCCGTCAGGACCCCAAGGTGACAGGCCACACCAAATCCTGCCAACAAGAAGCCACTGTAACTGCACGGCACCAGAGAACAGGAATCTCAAACAGCAGCATGGGGACCCCAGCGAAATGCTCTCCAGTGAAATCCTACCTCTGGGATGGAGCAGGCCATTCCCATCTACAAGAAGTACCTGAAAAAGCCAAAAAAGAAATGTTATTTCCCGTGCACTGAGAGCCACTTGACTGTGCAAACAGCGATGCTGGCTCTGGGAGGAAGGAGAATTCTGTCTCAGTCCTTTTACTTGTCTTATAAGGGTCCTCCAAGAAACATGCCACACCTGAGGTCTGAGCCTGGGCTCCTCCTGCTGAAGTCTCTGAACAGCTTCCACCAGGAAAGGGACTTCTCGGAAGGCTAAGAATCCTGCCACGTACGGGGCGCTCACCGTCACCATCCGGCAATCCTCGTACAGCACCTGGGAGCAGTGGGACAGCAGAGACAGTGACCTCCAGGACTTGGCCACCTGGTTCCTGACTGTCTCAGAGGCATCTCCTCTGGTTTATGTCCCCTGACCTCATCGTTTTTTTAAAACACTCTGCTGCTGGATCTCTCCCACAAAGCCAAGGCCACTGGGTTGTGTCAGTCTTGTCACTCATAAAAGGGGGCAGATAACAGACTGGTGACAGAAGAGGGCTAAACATACCCTGCCAGAGAGTGAAGTCCTTGACACAAAATTAGGGCAGCTATTCAAATCCACAGCGGGGGACCTCACCCAGTCAGAGCATTATCAAAGGGCGTCTGTCCCTGTGCGGGGACAGGCCAAAAGAAACCCTGTCATATGGGACAAAACAACATCCACACAGGGCAAGTAAAATATCAAAGCAGGATTTGAAATTCAGTTCATAAAAATCCCAGCAGCCCATATCAAGCTTTATTTCTCTATTTTGTTATAGGTTTTATAGTTAAAGATAATTTTTATATCATTTTGAAAGCTGGGAAAGGGACCAAAAATCTTTATTAATTCAAGTAAACAACTGTGGGATATGAGATTCACGGCAGTTTTGAAAAGGCTTTTATATGTTACATCCCTTATTATTAGATGATTCCCAGCAAGAACTCACAAGCAAGACATCTGCTGTTCGAGTGCTACAAATGGTTTCATTTCCTCTCCATCAGTGCTGAGTAACGATGGTCCTTTTTGTCTCCTTTTGGGTGGGGGCCAAGGCTGATTACTTCCAAACACCACCTGAACTGGTTCCAGAGTGCTGTGCTGACCTAGACTCTGTCTCAGCATGGCATTTTGTCCCCCTGGACTTGACACTGGTGAGGCCCCACCTCGAGGGCTGCGTCCAGTTTTGGACCCCTCACCACAAAAAAGACATTGAGGGGCTGGAGTGGGTCCAGAGAAGGGCAACGGAGCTGGTGAGGGGTCTGGAGAACAAGGAGGAGCTGCTGAGGGAGCTGGGGGCGTTCAGCCTGGAGAAAAGGAGGCTGAGGGGAGACCTTCTCGCTCTCTCCAACTCCCTGAAAGGAGGGGGTAGCCAGGGGGATGTTGGTCTCTTCTCCCAAGTCCCAGGCGATGGGACGAGGAAATGGCCTCAAGTTGCACCAGGGGAGGTTCAGGTTGGATATTAGGAAAAATTTTGACACTGAAAGGGTCTTGGAATTTTGACACTGAAAGCCTTGGAATGGGCTGCCCAGGGAAGGGGTTGAGGCACCATCCCTGGAGATGTTCAAAAGACGGCTGACATAGTGCTGGGGGACACGGTCTAGTGATAGATTTTTTGTCAGAGTTAGGTTAATGGTTGGACTAGATAATCTTAAATGGCCCTTCCAACCTAGATGATTCTATGATTTTCTGATTTCCCAACTTAAACGCATACCCCTCAACACCCTGTTGAGTTCCCAGTAACACTACGAACCGCTCACAATTGGGAACACTTTGCATCTTCTTAAACTTATGTCCAAATCTGTACACTTTGTTGTTTTTTTTTTCTCTGTTAATCTTTCTTGCAGAACGCACGGTCAAAGGACATACTCCTGGTGACTCACTGATGCCCTGCGAGGCAGAGGCGCGGTGATAAGGGACTTTGCGCATATTTTCTATGAACCCCCGGGGAGCAGGGTGGCCCCTGGCCGTTACCTCCATGCCCGGGTAGCTCAGCACCACCAGGGAGGCGCAGGCGCTGGTCTCGTCTTCTTTGATGTAGGATAAATCCACACCTCCCACTCTCTCCAGTCCGGCAAAACCGGGATCTCTCTGCCATTCCTCGGTGTCCTCCTCCACCACGCTGGCTCCCAGCCGGGCCTGCTCGCTGCGGCGGGATGGCGGTGAGGAGAGGCCTGTGTAGGCCCCAGTCCCCCTCCATCCCGCCCGGCGACAACCGTACCCCGCCGGGAGCGGGAGGAGGAGCCCGTGGGGGCAGAGACGCGAGGGGGGCTCCTCTCACGGGACCCCATCGCTCGTGGGGACGCGGGGATCGGGAGAGGGGAGTGGGGGGGGCAGGCGGCTCCCAGCACTTCGCGCTTCTCCTCAGGAGGGCAGCGGGACCCGGGGGGAGGGGAACCCCCGGGCAGAGGAGGGGACACCCAGGGAGGCAAGGGGACCCCGCCACGGCCGACCGGGGACGGCGGGTGAAGGGGAGACCCCCGCCAAGCCCACGCCGCCATGCAGGGCCTAACCCTAGGCCACAGGGCCTAACCCTAGGCCTCAGGGCCGCTCACGGTTGCCATGGCCACCGCGCCCCCCCCACAGAACCCCTCAGCGCATGCGCAGCCCGCCCGCCGCCGTTACCGTTCCCAGGCGCGGAGCGTGGCCTCCGGCGGCGGCGCGGCCCGGCCCGCCATGGCGGCGGAAGGAGGCCTCACCCTCCCTCGGGAACGCGGGCGGAGAGCAACCCGTTCCGGGAAGGGAGAGGACAAGCGGGGCGGGAGAAGGACCCTGCCCCGGGGGGAGGGAGCCGGCTCCGGCGGTGTCTGTGTGTCCGGTTCCAGCCCCGGCCCCGTCCTGCTCCTCGGGGAGGGGCAGCGGGAGGAGGAGCCCCTTCTGCACCTCAGCGACAATTAAATCTCAAGAATAACACCGGTTGCAAATAAAAAAAAAATTATTTACTTTTCCCAGCATTGGGAAATTATGCTTTTTACAAAAAAAAAATCCTTTACAGGTGGACTGTATCCATTTGATTTTTCACAATGCCTTCACAATAATCTCTTGTGTTTCTCCTTCATCTGGATACATGAAAGTGTCTGATCTGTGCATCATAGTTAGTTAAAAACCCAACCAAAATGCAAGCACACACACCCCATCCCACCCCCCAAAACCCAAGGCCCTGAGGTTCTAGAATCTTCCCCCACCCCATCCAGCCCCCCACTCTTTGTGACACTGTGCAGGAGGTGGGGGGTGGCAGGGGTGCTAGCTCTCCCTGCGCTCTCTTTTGAAGAGAGCTGCTGCTTTCCAGGTCTCCGTGGCATGAGAGAGGAGAATCTCGTCTGGGAACATCTCTTCCAGCTCTGGAGCTAATTCGGAGCGTTTTTCATCAAGGTAAGGAAGGAACGATTCCTTCAGGCTGGAAAATGAAAGAGCAAAAGTAGCATTAGTAGATAGTGCATGGCAAACTGCAAATGCCACATTGTATTCTGGGTGGTAGGAATGCACCAACATTAAATATACAGAATTTTAACATGTATTTTGAAATAAGAAGGTTGAGAGAAGCTAGAGAACCCAGAAATGGGATGCTGCAGGGATGTGCCTATGGAAAGTTGACTCTGCTCCTGAGTGACCACAGAAGTGCTTGTGTTTATCTTTAACGCTCACCCACCAGCAGCTCCTGGTGGATTCCACCAGCGTTCCCAAAATAGCTGGGGTAAGAGGAAGAGGAGTCTTACACACCAGAAACAGGCAGTGTCTCTTACAAATCCCTGCATATTCTTAATGGGGTTTGTGCTTCGTGTCCCACAGGGCGGTCATTTGCCAAGGGAACCCGTCCCAGCATGTGCATTTTCAGCTGAAGTTAATACCAACAGCTGTGGGTGGGTTTGGGCTGCACAAATGTGTTACCTCCACTTGGGATTGTGTTCTTGCCCAGCTCGGACGTGTCTCAGCTTCAAGATGATCATTTCATGGAGCTCCTGCAGGAAGGTTTCCAGCCTTGAGTGGACAAGGAAGGTGTTGAGGAGCTTGGCAATCTCTGCAGTGAGCTCCTCTTTGTAGGCTGGAGCGATGTCTACAAAAGGATCCTAAAAATGCAGTGAGGGGGGAAAAAAAAAAAGAAAATAAATAACCAACCATACACATTTGAACAAGTTCATCTAGAGAAGAGGAAACAAGTGATTAGACGCTGATGTTATCAGTGAGCCTTACCCTTCTGAGGCGCAGAAGCTGCTCAGATTTGTGGGTGGAGAGAAGTTGCCAGAGGGCTATGCTGTGCTTTAGCTGGCATCGTCTAAGGGCCTGAAAGAAAAGCGCATATATGGAGTGAATGTGGATGTGAGGGGTGTATTTAGGAACCTGTGCACACCCTGCCCACGCCAGTGGGAACTGCAGAGGAGCGAGCACGAGCACAGAGAGTCCAGCAGGGAGTTTACTGAGCCCTTTTAACCCAGGTATCGAGGCCCATCTGGCTCCTCTCTCCCTCTTCCCCATTTTGCCTCCAATAATCTTTTTGTTATCATGAAAGAGAGCGGGAAAGCGATAGGGTTCTGTCACACGTGCTTGTGAGAACATAGTGCCTTTGGCCCCTTGTCAGCAAAAGGCCTCTTTTTACACATCGTTAGGAGATAAACCCTTCCCCCATCACCACTTTGGAGAGGTACAGAGATATTTTCAATCCGAGCAGCCCATGGCCCTGAGAGCTGACACGTAATTGAACGCTCTGCCTTTTCTCAGTTTTAGCATTGCAACTAATTATGCTGGTACTTGGCTGAGAATTCTCCTTCCTGGTCCTGGCAGAAGAGCCTGGGTCTGCAGGGAAGAGCTCAGCCTTCTCCAGTCCTGCTCCTGACCTTTCTGTGGGGTTTTGCAAGGACCTGCTGAGCATCACAAGCCATTAGATGCTCCCACCTTGCAAACACTGGTTATAGGGGAAGAGAAAATTGTATCCCCCTCCGTTGTTGAATCCAGTGGGGAAGGAATTCTATCAAACACCTTTTCAAGCTGAACTTTTGCTGGAGTAGGAGATCAGACTGGCTGGACTTAGAGTGTGTGTGTGTATATATATATATACACAAACATATATATGTATATTCTTTACCCTCTAAGAGCTTTGCTCTCAGGACTCACCTGCAGCACGTGAGGGTTTGTCTGGTCACCCATCTGCAGAACATTTTGGATGTAGTCAGCCAGCAGCATCTCAGGATTCTCTCCAGCCATGGCCAGGAACCCCAAGGTGATTTCAGTGACGGACAGAGCATCACAGGCATCGCTGTAAGACTGTAGTTCCCCACTGATCATGTTCATCACAGAACTGGGCAGAGCACTCTGGAAACCATCAAGTCAAAGCAGTTGCTAACGTTAGTTAGTTTAGAGCCATTCCTTATTGCTAGTCAAGTCGCTAAAGACATGGAAGACGGCAGAGCCACAGATATAGGAAAGTGAAAAAGCTTAACTATATCCCTTTCCTTTGTAAATCCTGCCTGACAAAAGAAGGCCAGTTGGTATGTATGCTCAGAGATTAGTGGAGAAGCCTTCAGAGAACAAGGCAAGCAGCAGAAGACAGACCTAACATGGGTCTGTCCTAACAACATCCCTGTTTCTCAGGATGCCAGGGCTCACACGTGTGCCTGGTTTCCTCCAGTGCAGAAACTCACCTGAGCCACCTTATCCCTGACATCATTGAACAGCTGTTCACAATTCCGGTCATGTCTGTACACCAGGGTAGGAATTCCCTGTCAGGAGAGAAAGAACCCCGTGGCTGTAAAGCTTTGATCATGTCACTAACCCTGCTACAGCCCAGGCCTGGCTGCAGGGAACACCACAGGGCCCCGACCTCAGCAAAGAAGCCATCTGCAGAAATCACAGCCCTTCTACCTTTGGGGTGATGAGTGGTTTCCCCTGCAGGAGCTTGCTGATGACTTGCTGCTGGATCCTCTCCAGATCAAATTCCTGCAATGTCTCCCCTCCCTTCTCCATGCTGTACTGGCAGTTGGACAAGATCAGAGGAATCAGGTCTCTCTCCACCTCATAACTGATCAGGTGCAGGTCAGCCACTTCTGATACACCAATCGTGTACCTGCAGAAGAGAAAAGAGTCTTCATTTCGAGCAAAAAGCCTTTATGAAGCAGGTAAAGCTGATTGTGGTAGCAGCTGATACAACAAACCTCCCCACCCTCCAAGAAAAAAAGCCTAGCTGGAATAGCAACACACCCATCATCTTCCTTGATGTGTTTGTTGACAGAGTGGACACAGTTGTTGTGCAGAGCAATGAGGTAACTGGCCAAAGCTGTGGAGCAGAGGCCCTGTCCCTGACGACGTGGCAGAAGGACCTCGAGCTCGCTGTCCAGGGTCAGGTCAGCTTTGCAGTAGCCTTCAGGAAGTTTTATTTCCCCTGAAATAAAAAGGCAGAGAAGACTACTGCCTGAGGTGGCCCAGAGCCAGCCCACCATGAGCCAGCCTCTCCTGAGCCAAGCCAGGTCAGGAGAAAGCACAGAACCTGAAAAAAGCAGCGCTCTTTGCATTATTGATAAGCACTAAAGAGAGAAAAAATTAGGTGAGATTACTACAAATTCTTCCATTTGCACCTAGATCTTCTTAAACCTTTAATGGCCAAGGCCAGTTTTGAGGCCGTGTCCCAGCATCACTGACATGAGGAACTTGGAGCTGAGGAAGGGCAGCAGCAGGGGAGCAGGGTCTGAGAGCACCTCCTGCCTCCATCCCTCCCCAAACAGCACTGGGAAAGAAGGGTTCTTACCATTGGTGTCCAGCGATCTCCTCAGCTTGTTCCAAACAGACAGGAACACGTTCACTCTCCTCTGTAACAGGTCCCTCATCACATCTGAGGAATCACATCCTCCTGGAATCTCTGCTAAGGCACATGGAAAATAAGGAGGCGGTTGGTGACAGCCAACATGGCTTCACCAAGGGCAAATCACGCCTGACAAATTTGGTGGCCTTTTATATATTGCCACAGCCTTGGTAGACAAGGGCAGAGCAACAGTTTTCACCTTCATTTTCAACTGGATAATCCAGTGCTTTTTGTTTCACTAATGACAGTTTTGACAAAGGCTTCTCACCTGAGAGGGGTTCCTTGAGGAAGTCTCTGATGGAGCAGCGCCTGACATCAGTGGTGTTCTGAAATCGCCTCACCAAGTCTCTCTGCAAGGCCAGAATCTCTGGTAGGAATTTAACCAGCCTCAGCTCCGGTTCCTGGAAGAGGAAAGGGGCCTGTAAGCAAGGTTGTCCTTGCCCAAACTAGTTTTGCACACTTTTGTGGAATTACTTGTTAAATGTTTAAAAGAAAAAAAAATTTCACACATGCAGTTCTCAAGATTATAGAAAGTTCTGAGACTAAAGACACCATATAATCAAACAGTGATTCAGTCCTGGGCAACTGGCTCGAGGCAACTCTGCGCAAGCAGGGGGTTGGACCTGTGACCTCCAGAGGTCCCTTCCCACCTCAACCAATCTGAGATTCTGGGAGCTGATCTCTGAACGTTGCACTCTCCCATCCCCGTGTCACACCCACCATCTGCAGGAACTTCCAAAGGAGAGGGACAGTGTCCTTGGCATTCTTTATCTGAGATTCTAGGAGCTGATCTCTGAACGTTGCACTCTCCCATCCCCGTGTCACACCCACCATCTGCAGGAACTTCCAAAGGAGAGGGACAGTGTCCTTGGCATTCTTTTGCTGGACTACGTGGCCCAGGTTCTCCACCGAGATCTTCTTTCGGCAGCTCCACATCTTGGAATGATGTATGTGACTGTCCTTTGGCAGCTGGGACAGGAAAGTGGCTGGGTCACCATACACTATTTTCACTATTGGATTGGAAGAAATTCTCTCATCCTCTTGTATTTGTCTATTTAACTTCAGAAGCTTTTTATCCAAATCCTGCATTTAAAATAAGAAAAAAAATAAGGGGGAAATTAGATCAGAATCAGCAATGTCCTGCCACGTCAAACCTCCACTAGAGTATATTTCCCTAATAGCTCGATGAACAAATATGTCAAAGCAGAAGATGAGCTCCTCAGGAAGGCGTGTAGAACACATACTATGATACAGCTGTTTATACCATAAAGTTACTTTTTGTTCTCCAGCTCATCCAACTCACAGGTCTTCCATTCTTACCATGATGTATATGGGGGCAAAAAAACGGCAGGAAGGGTTCATTCAGGGCAACTATGTGCTCACTTGGACAAATACTTTCAATAGAGCTAAGACATTTTTGCTTTTCTAGTTACACAAAACCTTCAGAGCTCAACTCTAGTCTCAGATACTCATTTCCACAGGTAGAATAAAGTTGGCTGACTCTTACAAATCAAAGCTAGCCTGCAGCTGTGTCATCAATGGCTTGGTTTTAGGAATAGCTAGGTGAAAAGTGTAGCACAGATACCACAGCAGGTCAGATTACCAAATAAGTGGATTTTGAACTGCTCAACTACTGAAATTTTATACAGCAAATTTCTCACCTCCAATTCAGGAGCAATAATTGTGTTTGCAACAATTCTTTCCCATTCGTTTCTCTCCTCCTTGGTGGAAAGCGCAGCACTGAATCGAACTGGCCCTGCAACAGGAATATTTAGTCTCTTACATCTGCAATATTTCAGTTAAAAGCAAGCACAGATTCTCTAAGCTTCCAGATGTGGCACCCTTGCAAATTAGCATGATGAGCCAAGAGCAATTACAGAAGTCCTAGAAGCTAAATGAGTATCTTGGTCAAGCTGGAGAGCGTCATCCAAACCAGCATGCAGTGACTGCAGGTTTCCAGAAACCTCAGTCCAGTCATTCCTGTGAATGATGTGGACGTTTACACAAGTCATTCATAATCCCAGAAAGGTTAAACAAGTTGTCCAAGGTCAGACCATGATCAATGACAGACCGAAGAGCAGAGCTTGGAATACTGATTTGTGCTGTCGCACTGAAAATACGGCTCTGAGAGATGAATCCCCACGATGACACAATGACTCATGTCAACTTGAACTCCACATTCTACCACGAACCGGGCCAAACAGCTTCCTGGTAGCTCATTTAGAGGGCAGAACATGGATTATATACAGCATGAGCTACTGCACTTTGAGGAGTTCCTCTGCTCGTGAGCTGAAAGCTCTGCCAATGTGTCATGAGGTTATTCACTCAATAATTCCTTTTCAGAATTAGGCACCAAACCTTGCAAACCCCACACGAGGCAATGGAAAGAGAATTAAACAGTCAAAAATCCTTCACTCCCTACAGCAAGAAAACGGTCTCAAATTTCTGGATCTTCCTCATCAGCTCAGCTGCTGCCACTTGGAAATGGTTTATTAGCAAAGACTCTAAATAACTGGTGCCCTGGAAATGCTGATGTGCTCCTTACACTGGCCTGGGTGCTGATGGGTGTCCTTCAGGAGGCTGTCGAGAATGAGATGAAGGGTGTTCACAGTCTCATCCACGCTCTTGCCCAAAATTCTTGTCAGCTGTACTAAATCCTGCTGAATATGCTGCTCTAGGAAAGTCACCGCGTTGGGCACCAGTGGCTTGATAATCTTGCGAAGTGACTAAAGAGGAAGCAAAGGGAAGAATGAGCACAGGCAGTAACATCCAGCTCAAGCACAAGGTACTTGGAGCTACAGTCCACCAGAAAGTCTCAGCTCCATCCTGTAGGATTCCTCCCACCAGAACAAACACAGGTCTGTGTCTATATGCACACGTGCAAGTGCACGAAGGAACCAAAATCCCTCCTGGGCAATGAGGGAAGTGAATTTGGGTCTCACGTCCTGAAAGACTGCCCCAGTTCCTTGGCAATATGATGAAAAGGATCAGTGTCATACAGAGGTTTCACTACATTTCATGCGGCCACTTGGAACTATTACTGGGAGTTACCTCAGGGTCTTTTGTGGCTCCCAGCAGCATTGCCAAATGCGTGAGCAAGCGCATCAGCATGAAGACAACGGGGGACACGTCCCGATCACACACTCCTGCTGCTTTTCTGTGCTTTACGTCTCCAAGTATGTGTCCAGTTTGAGTTCTGTCTTCATTACCCCTGTTGGAAAGAACATACATAGTTTTTTGCCTTGACAAAAACACACAAGAGATGTCTTTGATACCCAGTAATGTCTTTTTGACCCGTAAGTTCTTTGGATGCCATAAAAGCTGCCAATTAAAAGTGCTAAAGGGGAATGAAGACTTCCAGTAAGTTTTGTATCGGCAAATAAGCCGATTTGTTTAGTTTTGCTGGCTGGTTACTCTTCCTTGGACATCTCTTCCAAGAGAGAGATGAAAGAGGCAATGTCCAGCCCTGTAGGGCAAGATTAGCCAGCTCTGTGCTGGATAGATGAGAAGCTGCTGCTGTTGGAATTATAGCTTTAATGTTCTTACAAAAAAGCTGCAAGTGCTGATCCCCTGGGAGGCCCAGGTGGGAGCCAATGGGGGGCCACCTTTCAGGCAGCAGCTTGAAGTGGTTGGTACCTTTTGCCCTGGAAGCACAACAGGCAAGTCCTACATCATTTCACACTGAAAAGGTTAAGGAACCAAAGCCTACTGGAATTCTCGGAAGCCAGGCACTGCTTTATGATTTTGCCCTCCAATTTGGACACCACACTCGATGCAGGAGCTCGTTTCCATGGGGCGGCCACACTAGCAAAAAACAAAATGAGAACACTGAACTCCAGAGCAAAAGCCACTCCAGCAGAGAAAGAGAACAAAACAAAAATCCAAGCTGTAACTGGTTAATTCAAAAGCTGCTATATACTGGGCAACAGACCTCTGTCGCTTGTTTCCTAGATTTATGGTATAAGCTGTGTTAAAGCTATTCTAAATCTTACATTACAATGACAAAAAAGATTCGTAATATAGAGAATTTAGAAAACGAACTGCTGTGCTATAGAACATAAAAACCAGTAAATAAAATGAAAGAGTTTATTGTTGAAAGCACCACCTGCTTAAAACCCCACCAATCTCAAATTCTTACCTCTCCTATAAAGCAGACGTGGCCGTTTGGACACGCTAGCAAGAAAGAGAAACAAAGAGGTCAGTGTTATAACAACAGACATTTATAAAGCCCCTGTTCTTTCCTTTCTTAGGGACCATCATCTTGGAACGAGAAATATGCTTCAAGATTTAATCAAAAGCACGGACAGTCCCAAAACTCAAAGGAATCACTCCTGTGGGGGAACCCAAGGAACTTTTCAGTGCATCTCTCCTCGAGGAACAAGCCTGAAAGATTCTGCTGTCAATACCAAAAGGGGCTGGAAGCATCAAAGAGGAGTGTGTCTGTCCTCACATTTGGAACTGTTTCATCCAAAAACGAAGGATTATCCTTCAATGTCTTTCACAGCCAGAGAAGCACTTACTGTACCAGCGCAGAGTGGCCAGTCCTTCCCAGGTCCTTGCCTGAGCCATTAAATCTTCTGGCATTGTAGGCAGAAAAGAGTGCTAAAGAGGAAAAAGGGAAAAAAGGTGACAAATGAATACATATATCTGTTCTTTCCTGTAGCAGTTCCTCAACTAGCTCCTTCTTCATGATAGGGAACAGAAAGCAGAGGTCGCGCAGATTATGCACATGCACATTTTCAAATTCCACCTTTGAAAAATCCACTCTTAAAAACTGTCAATATTGTTAAGCTTTGCGCAGGCACTTTCTAGACATCCTGAACTGGGTTCCTCTTGGGGTGGTGGCCTGATGCACCCTGGTGTGTAGCAGCACATTTCCTCGTGTCGTGGAGAGCCAGCAGCAGATTCCTCCACCCTGACTCAGCCCAGGGCTCCATCACCCTTTAGAGCACACAGGTCCCCACAGCGTGGCCTGCCAACGGCTCCCAGACTTGCTCACTCAAATATCTGCTAAAGTATTTGTCTGATACAGTTCAGGACGCAGAGGTACCCTGAAAAAGTACCCGTCCAGAGATGCTTGGTGTGCTAATTAATCCCAACAACACTGAAAAAATTATACATCAGTAATTCACAGCTAAAACAGTAAGTTGGTGCTTTTGACATCAAGAAAGCTTAGGTTAGAGAGGACCCATAAGATACATGGATGAACTAGCAATACGCTGAATTGCCATCCCAGTTAACTCTCTTTACCTGCATGGATTGTGGATGGAATGCCAGGTTCCTGAGGGGCTGCAGGACAGGGCTCTGGACACACAGCAAGACGGCCGCAGTGTGAACAGCCATCTCAGCCAGTGCTCCCCCGTGGCTGGAGCTCTGAGGACCCACCGTCAGAGACGGCAGCGAGTTCATCACCAGAGAAGTTGCAAAGTGCTGCAGGTCTGGAGAATTCAGGGCTTGGGAGTTCTGGATGAACTCAGTCATAACATCTCTTTGCTGAAAGCACATATTTAAAAGAAATAAAACCAGCGTGATATCGCCCACCAAACTGAAGAGGAGCATCAGCTGCTTCCCATGCTGTGCTGCCCCTGCTTTGAAAACATGCTCAGTCTGCTTTGATCAGGACATAACTGCATTTGCAGCAGAAGAACAAAATGCTCTTCCACCACTGATTTAAATCTCATTCACCCTTACCAATGACGTGTGTTTGTCACAAGCTTCCAAAGTGAAATATCTTACCTGCTCCTTGGGGTGAAGATTTGAATCACTAACTCCGTACAGGGCAGTGACCTCCCTGAAAAGAGCCAGGAGCAGATGGACAGACCGTACCGCCGGGGAGCTGCGTGAGGCCTGGAAAAGAAGAATTGATGATGTGGCACAGAAGAGGCTATAGTTGTCACAGCTGAAGTTGAACAAGGCTACGCAGCTATGGGCAGGCAGGGAAAAGGGCTTAAAGCATCTTTGATTATCTGCCTGCTCCCCAGCCAGCTGGCTGCAAGGTGCCTGTATCGCTCACAGCAAAACAACTGCTGCCATATATTACAAGGGGAGAAACACGAGATGAGGCAACCAACAGAAATAACATCAGAGTTACATATGCTAGAACACAGATAAGAAAATGAAGCAAACGTGTGTCTTCCAGGATAAGCCAACAGTAACTTCCAGGCAGGGGCAACCCCAGCATCTCCACTGGAAGAGCCACTGCCAAGAGGAACACATAAAGCTTAACCACTGGCCACCCAGACCCTAGAACAGGATTATGGTGAGGAGCACGTGTCCTACCTTCTCTGCCTCTAGAAGATCCTCAGTCTTACACTCGATCATGGCTTTCCCCACGGTGTCGCGCAGGACTCTGTAGTTCTCACCGCAGGCCAGGTAACGATCGATGTGATTAGACTGGCTGTTCTGCATCTACAAAGGGAAAAGCCCAGGGTGAACTCTGTGGACATTCACCAGCCATGGGATAAGGCAGAATCTCCTCTTCCTCCCAAGAACTGGGGCGTTTCAGCCTTTACAGAGAGACAGCAGGGCAGCGTGGCAACCCAAACAGCTTTTCACTGCCATAACAGGCTCCAGGGAGCACAAGGATGTCACCTTCCCAATCACTCCTGCTGCAGTGTGTCCCCCAGAGCCACCCAACAGTAGAAACCCCCCAAAGCAGCATGAGCTGAGGACTAAGAGGAGACACCTCTTCTTTACCTGCTGAAGAATTTCCACTGGGAATATCCAGTTAAACTTTGCCTCTGTGACAAGCTTCTGAGCAAATTCCATCCCATACTGACTAGCAATTTTCCGGACTAGGAAAACATGATGCCAGTTGTTCTTGGCGAGGCCACAGAACGTCCTCACATTTGCCAGGTAATGCCGTTTCTCCTCAACCTTGTCTTGTCCTGGAGGGAAAAAAAAAGTATTAAAAAAAAAAAAAAA